CCTTTTATCATTTGAGGAACATAGCCAGAATCGGACAAGTTTTGTCAAGCGACACTGCAGAGGTTCTTGTCCATGCATTTGTGTCTTCCCAACTCAGATATTTCCGTGACGCACACAGACAGTCCGTGGGAAAGCGCCAAGTCTAGTGTGTGACCTTTTTCATGCATGGGACCAGTAACCCACTGGGTCAATTTAAAAGCGTCAATAATATTTAAAAAATCCTTGACCAGAAGTTTAGAGTCACAGCAGACATGGATGTTAAAATCACCAAGGATTAAAAAACTGTCGAATTCAAGAACAATTCCAGCCATAAAATCTGAAAACTCTTTGATAAAATCCTTATTAAACTTGGGAGCTGGAGATCAAAACTAGAAAATGAATCGTGCTGTAATGTGTGATGGCAATGAAATCGAGCGTTGAACAAGCCAACCCCCTACCAGAGGACCGAGGGAGGCTGAAAAATGAGCAATCAGGAGGAACCAGTTCCGAAAAAGCTACAGAGTCACCGGGTTGAAGCCATGTTTCTGTCAGAAACAAAGTCCAGCTGTTGGGACTTTAGGAAGTCATTTAATACAAATGTCTTGTTTGCTAAAGCTCTTACATTTAGTAGAGCCATTTGAAGGGTGTAGATTCTAACATCAGATGCTCCGGCTCGGTTAAGCTTGCAAAGATTTCTGTGGTCTACACCAGCGGTCTCCAACCTTTTTTGTGCCACGGACCGGTTTATACCCAACATTATTTTCACGGACCGGCCTTTAAGGTGTCGCGGATAAATACAACAAATACAACAAAATAAAACCAGTACTGGAAAAAAAGATTTATTCATAACACACGTGAAAAGACCCAGGAAAACCGAGTTATTGATAAAAACGATAACAAAATAACGCTGAAAACCGACAAAAACCCTGAAAACCATACATTTCACACCTGAGCCTCAAATCTCACGGCCCGGTACCAAACAACTCACGGACCGGTACCGGTCCGAGGCCTGGGGGTTGGGGACCGCTGGTCTACACCACATCCACGGGTCCGAGGCCGCTTGGGGAAATAAAATGCTGACCGCACTAAGCTGGTCAGCATAATGATGCAATGTGTGCTAGGGCTGTTCAATATATATCGGATGACGATATAAAAACGTCTATTTCATTTTACGCTATCGTTTGATTCGTGGTGTTGCAAAATAAACTGTTTACAGCAATATTTGTTCATGGTTCTGATGTCACTGTAGTGGCTGTATTCATTTCTTAAAGTTCTCTCTTTCTCTTATATTTAATATAACCACACTACTGACAGACAAGCGCCTGTTTTTATGCGTTGTGGTTAGCAACAACGACGGTAACAGCATCGGGTGTCCGCTTGTTTATGTTCCACATAAACCTTTCACAATAAAGCTCAAGATCCTGTTGAGACTTTTCAAAATAAAATGAATCACGTGAAAGAGCAGATTATTTACGGATGAGAAGTAAAAAAGAGCCGCCAGGTGCTAAAAAATAAACCTTAGACTCAAACGTTAGAACAGGCTTTTCCCCGCAGCACGCCGTGTAATAAATACTCACAAAGAAAACGGCGGCCGTTACAACTTATGTCTAAAAATGTGTCGTTTCATGCATCGGTTAAAACACTCGACTCCAGCTACATGACGCGCAGCTGGAAACACTTCACGCAAGTCGAGATTCACAGAATTTACAGAAAATGTTACATTTTTGTGATTTATATCGTTATCGGGACGATAGATGTCTTATATTGGGATATGAGGTTTTGGTCATATCGCACAGCCCTAATTTATGCCCACAAATGGCATCGGGACCACCAGCTTTAACCCTCTGAAATTAGAGATGATTGACACTATGGAGCCTTGCTCTTAAAAACAGACATAGATGTAGTGCTGCCTGTGAAGCTGGATTTAAGACACAAGTGCTTAAAGTTTTCAGAACACATCAGCTTGTCATTACAGAACTTGACATTACTGGGTTGGTTGTTTGCAGCTAACAGACTTAAATTAGTTTATGTTAGCGATGTTGTTGTTTAGCTAGCTGCACTCACATGGGAAAATCCAGCTGTTAGGATTTGTAAAGCACATTATAAATGAGAACAGCGGAGAGCCCAGTCACCAGACAGACAATTTGGAGTCCAACACTTTAGGTTTTCCTCACTACGCTGTGTGTAAATCAGTCTCCAGCTTGTTGGTCCAGGGAACGACCTGTCACCCGATTCAGACAGGCTCTCCATCACACGGGCCCAATTTAAAGTGCTTTACACACCCAAACATTACAACTAACAGCTGGATTTTTGTGTTTCAGTGCAGTTGGAATAAAAACATAAAGCCACTTACTGCTTAAGAGACAGTTGCTCGTTGGTAGTCTCTGCTTTACGGTCAAGATGAAAAGGAATACCAAACCCTGTCAGTTCCAGGTCCTTGCCCCAGTACACAAGTGTTCCTCATTTCATGTTTAAGTGAGTCAAGCTTATAGCTTGTTAAGCTTATAGCAGTCTCTAAGGTTTGTGTACCTGAGTCGCCTTCGAATTTCACCCATTCTCCCTCTTTTCCTACATGAAGATTTTCCGTACAGTCTGAGCTCTGGAGGAATATTCACCGGCTTGACTCAGCTGATAGACCATAGTGACAGGAGGAACCCTCATCTAAGAATGAGTTTACATGTTGGTCGTGGCCTGATATACAGTTCTGCTCAAAAGCAAGAGGAGATAAGACCACAAATAACCTCATTATCAGTAAACCGGCTGACCCGACCGATCATTTTTGGCAAATACTGGAAAGCACATCTGGTACCAGAATTATATAGAGGGATATAAATGTATATAGATTCCATCTCCACAATGAGTCCTAATGGCCACGTTTGCTATCATTACACCTTACTGTAACAAGCATAGCATATGTAAGCATATATGTCTCTGTGTATATTATCTCCTAACCTAATGGGCCAGTCTCAACAAAACTTTGTACACATATGCAGGTTATTGACATCTATATATGCTTTATTTTTTTGAAAGCATTTATGATAAATTCCAGTTGTTTTGATTTTCATATTCATCATCACCTGTGAATGTAAGCTACATTACGTTCTGTTTTTGTTTGTTTTTATGTTTAATGGCGATCGCCCTTATGTAACTTCAGTCACCACTCAAAAAAGTAAAGCAGTCAGAAATGTGTTGCATTATCAATGCAGAGAAGCATGGATAAGAATTGCACAGTTCGAGACAGAACTGCAGTGGAACCCCGATTTACAAAATTAATTCGTTCCTTTCGTAAGTCGAAGTACCCATCGTGCCTTTTTGACTGATGCTGAACAATAGGCTAATTGCTAACTAGAACAACAATACGTCGTTCAAGTGCAACAGCGAAGCGCAAGTATGGAAGCCAAGGGATTGTCACATGATTCTGAAGGCATTGTAGAGCTCAGCCAATCAGAAGCCAGCAGATTTCCCGAGTAACGAAATCAGAGTCAAGTTACGAAGGCACTGAACCTTGCCGTTCAGTGCCTTCGTACCTGTAACTTGAATTTTTTGTGAAACGGGGTATTCGTAAGTCGGGGTTCCACTGTACTTATAGAACTAGACTATCAATAATTATGATTGTGTTGTTGGAGAAAAGATAAATGATTATTGCAAGCTTAGCAGGTTATGCTGTGACTAAAAGGTTGTGAATTATTATGCTCTGCCTGACTCAGCTGGTTATGTTTATGGTGTTTCAAACAGGTGTTGCCAACAGGGAAGATGCCAAGTGCCCTCAGGCGGGCAAATTTTGTAACATCGACTCTTATAACCAGGTTAAATGATGTTACTCTTGTCCCTTGTTTCTTTATTGGCTGGTATTGATACTGATTGACTGATGTATCAGTCAGGCTCAATGTTGGACCTGATATTGAGTTTTGGTGAACAACCACCAAATATAAGTTCAACACTTGGAATCGTCTCCAGATGCAGCTTCATTTGCTTGTTATTTCATGAAAAAATAATTTAATGCAATACTGGCCAACCCCTTATGGGCCTTTGTTGGCTGACTGTGTTTTCTGATAATGTGTATGTAGTGTACCCTTGAGATAACACTTCTGTAATGTTTATTTTCAACAGCTCCCAGATGGGGTGAATGTGTCGAAAGAAGCAAGAAGAGCCATATCCCAAGCAGCCAGTGTGTTTGTGTTATATGCCACCTCCTGGTAAGAAGTAATAAATCCCATTTACATAATGTGACCACTATTTATTTATTTTAGCAACTATAATAGGGGCGGGCGATATTTCGAATATACTTGCTGTATCTCGAGTTTTTCCACGTATGATGGTTAAAATGGCTTAAACATAATCATCGAGTATAGGTTGCCATGGAAATATTAAGCTGTCTGCATTTAAGTCAGTTTTTATTTTCTCTCACATGCTGTGAATTCATCAATAACCCCCCTGCCCAACACTGCCCAATGCACTGAGCAAGCGTGTTTATATATATTTATATAGAGAAAAATATGTCAAAGTACGGTAATTTGCAAAACATGCCGTAAAACTATTGGCGCAAAAGGTAGCAGTACCACGAAATTATTCCACCAGCTGAAAAGTCATCCACTGCAAAATTAAGACTGTTTTAAACTCGGCATGTGAACGTCTCCCCACACACCAAAGACAACTTTAAACCCGCTGTCATATGAGCTACAACGCCTATCGGCAAGAAGCTGAGACTCTGAGGTTTCTGTGGACCACACATGCTGATATTTTCTTTAAAAGAACAAACAAACAAACAAACAAACAAACAAACAAACAAAATAACCTCACTTCACTGAGGCTTACACTGCAGCTCACCCCCTTTGCCCCCAGGGGGTGTTGGGGCTCAAGACATATCACGAAATATATCATGTTTTGCGGTACAGCCACACACACAAAAAAAATTGCGATGTTGCATTTTCCTCATATCGCCCAGCCCTAAATTATAATGACTCCGAGATACATGCACATATATTTATTAGGGGTGCAACGATACACAAAATTCACGGTTCGGTTCGATACTTTGGTGTCACGGTTCGATATTTTTTCGATACAAAAAAATGTTCATGCCTTTTTAATTTGTCATTTATTAAAATTATAAATATATATTTTAACTCAAAAGTACAGTTTTTAAATTTAATGTTGCTGAAACAACAAAGTAATAAAATAATCTATCTGATGGAGAAATCACTCATCTTTGGAAAAGAGAGTTTATTACAGAGAAATGGCTCTTTCAAAATAAAAGCTATACTATACGCTTCTTCTGGGCTATATTCTCAGCAGCATATTAAACATATCAGGTCCCCATAAGGAGAATCCTGTGCTAACGGCTGTCTAAATGACTCGGGTAAAGTTTGTAGCATGCTGCTTGTTGTTTTTGTCTGCTTCCACTTGTCTTTGCACTAGGATGATGTCGGACGTAAATGTGCAGTCATATTCGTTGTGTTCCCACTAGTGCTGTCAGCTTAATCTCGTTGAAATGACCTTAACGCCACAACACGGCAAATCGTGCCGTGGGGCTGGACGGTGAGACAAATTGAGCATTGCGTGGCACATACAATGTTTTACTTTTAGTCCATGACGCGCTTACCTTCAGGGTCATACTTCACATGAAAACCAAAATAGTTCCAAAGCCAGATCTGAATGAGGGTGGGGGAGGTTCAATTTGCCATGTTGCAACGAGCTTAGCTTCTGTCTTGCTAGCTTGCGCTGCGCTCAGTGGATCTGCGCTCGACAGTGCAGCCTAGGCGGAGTAGTCGAACGCAGATCCACTGAGCGCTCAACACAGACAGCATCGTCAGAAGAAAGTTGATAAAATAAATTAAAAATTTTGTATTGTTCGATACATATGCGTACCGAACCGAAAGCACTGTATCGAACGGTTCAATATCGATACGAATATCGTTGCACCCCTAATATATTATATATATTTTTGTACTTTATTTATCAGAAATTCTGTTTTTAAATTTTTTTTTTATACATAGAATAAAAGTTTATCAAGAGTGCATGTAATTTTGTTGTGCTTTTGGCACGACAAAATCAATTTTTATTCTAATTTCCAGCACAGCAGCAAGCTAAGAATGCTATGATGTGAATGTTAATTCACAAACACTGAATCAAACAACTGCTTCAGTTTAAATGTTTTATTGTTTCCCCCCTGCTTTTTTTTTTTTTTTTTTTTTCCTTCATTGTCTCCTCAGCGCAAATAATTTTGCTATGAAGGCCAAGCGAAAAACTCTGAATGCAGGAGATGTCTTGGCTGCAATGGAGGAGATGGAGTTCGAAAGGTTCCTGGAGCCCCTCAGAGAAGCTTTGGAAGGTGAAACTTTGAAAATACTCTCAGCTTTTAAAGATATTTTAATAAGTCCACAATAAGTTCAGTGACATCAGGACTTTTATTCATTTCCTTGTGAAGTTGTGAAAACAACACTAATGTTTGTATTAGGGATGTTTTTGTGACTAGTTTCTAAATGAGTGGCACAAAAAGTAAACTCGCCAGACTAAAACTGAGAAACGCTCAGATATCAAGTGAAATTTGAGAACGTTTAATGGAAAATGTCAAAAACTAATAACAGACAACTCTAAAGCAAAAAATACACTCTGATAGTAAGTTAACTTTAATATTTATTTATTGCCCCAAACCTTCTAAACAGAGGGATTTTAAACCATTTATCACATTCTTCAATAGTATATCATGCTTTTTAACAATGCAGCACCTCTCATTGTGCATCATCAACCTTACACATCCCCAGACAGACAACGAAGAAGGAAACACTTGAAACACAATGATGTTAAATTGCGACTAAGTAGTGTGGTACATGCACTATAACTAATAGATGTAATCTCTCCAGCGTGTCCCGGGTCTACGCTGGGGCCGCCTCCTGGTAAGACATGCCCATCTGGAGCTTAGTGGGCTCCTTTCAATGTGGAGAAGTAGCAACTCTACCTTGAACCCCTAACCAATGAGTGAAATCCTCACCCTATTGCCCATCCACCTTTTGGAGAAAGCTAATTTCCTCATTAAACATTAAAATCACATGTTGACCCTTTTTAAAAAAAAAAAAAATGTATTTATTTATTTTTTTAGTCAGTATCATCAATTATGTCAACAAATCATCATCGCAGCCCTAAAGTAAAATATAATTAACTGCAAGTAACAGCAGGTGTTTGTATTTGTCAACAGTGTATAAACAAGGACAGAAGGGAAAGAAGGTGTCTGAGCAGAAACGGAAAGATAAAGAGAAGAAGGTCGACACAGAGAATAATAGGAGCAGAGATGAGGAAGGAGAGGACGACGATGAGCGCATGGAAGAGGAGCCTGAGGTCGAGAATGAAGCCGAGGAGGAGGAAGAGGTGGAGAACTGATAACATTCTCCCCACAGAGAACTCCGTCACATACTCTGAGATAATTCCTGGCCAAATGGGATATGTGTGTGTGCAGCTCAGCGTCACCATGTATCAAATGATAATGAAATGTGAACTGAAAACGGGTGACTTCTAGCCTGAAAACATGCAACACAAAGCACAAAGAAGTCACCTGTCTAGATATGTCATGTGACCTCCAATTTTGGATAAAAGAATAACAGACAAAAAAATGCACATTTGATTCTGCTCCCTGATGTGACAGTTTTTCTACATGACAATGAAGGGAATATGTCTGGTTTTCAGACAAAATAAAACATTTAAAAGATGTCATCTTGTTCAAACGTCTCCCCAAAAAATGTATATTAAATTGCAATGAATAGAATTGAAAACTGTTACCTTTTATCTGTTAAGAATTGAAAAGATGAAATGAAATCACTGATTTCTTTGCATAGTCTCCTAAGCCAAAGTTCTGAAAGTAGAGTTGGAACACGTGTTATCATATAGGAACTTTAAGGCAGATTCTGGCAACATTTGGATTTAAATCTGCGAGATTGAAGTTGTCACTAATATTGGGTACAAAAATGCATGTTTACAGCTTATCCCACAACTACAGCTGAGGTGCATTGAGACAGTGAGCTGCTGTTGGGTTTTATACCTAGAGAAACTAGTTGTTTTGTTGTTTTTGAACCATTTATACTTTTGTAGACTTGTATACAAGTTGCTAAGATTTTTAATAAATTTGTATAAAAAGCATACTTGCAAGCTTTGTCTTGATAAAACCGGTACCTTGGGCTGCTTCTAAAAAAAGCAAAGGTGGGGCTGTCTCTAACCAGGTAATGCATGTCCAAATGGTAAATAGTCTGGCTTTTGTATAGTGCTTTCCTGCTCTACGTGAGCACTGAAAGCACTTTATACAACTTGCCTTATTCTCCCACTCATACATGCATTTGTCCTCCTTTTTTCCAAGTAAGTGTTTTCTAGCGTTCACGCAAATTCGTACTCTGATGGATGCATCGGAGAGCAACTTGATACCTTGCACAAAGATGTTCAGTATGCAGACTGTGTGCGGTCAACCTTCCACCAACCCTCTGATTAGTAGATGACCTGCACTACCTTCTGAGCCTAAAGGATGTCAGCCACTAGCCACTTTTTAGCCCACAACATGGGCTAAAAATTGGACAATGGAAAAAAAAAAAACGTTATCTGGTCTAATGTTTCAATTTCTACTGTGACATGGGCACACCATGCGGCCAATCGCATACAAAGACCAACTGGGATCATACCATTTTGTGAAAGACAGAAACAGTGCAGATGTTCAGAATACGGCAAGTGTAGATGTACAGGCCAGGTAGAGAAACGAGGGAGTGGATTTAAATGCAAGGTTGTCAGGAAAAATTGAAGAAAAGAGTGAAAATGTAAAATCGGCAGCATCTGGCTGCATTTCAGTCATGCTGCAGACTGCAAAGCTGAGTGCAGAACTGATTCAATTAGGAGCTGGTTAAAGTGATACCTGTTTTTGTTTTCAGCTATTTTCCATTGTGGGGTTGACAAAAGGCTTTAACTTGTTCTGGTGCATGTTCTCTCTAGCAGTAGTAAATGTCTTTTATGAAAACACTGAATAAAAAATGGCGCCCTTGTGGAACCCCGCAGGGTAGGGAGGCAATGTTAGAGAACCTGTCGGTTCTAACAGAGATGGTCCGATTAGACAAGTAGGAAGAAAACCAGTCTATGGCATTGCCAGATACACCAGCCAAAACCTTAAGCCTATTAAGTAGGATTTTGTGGTCAATAGTTTCCTCCATTAAAAAAAATCATTATAGGCCATTATACAAGTGGTTTCAGTGGAGTGCTGCCTCTGAAATCCAGAGTGAAAAGGGTCAAAAATCTCTAATCTTTCTAGTAAAGATCTGAACTGATTTTCTAAAATTTTTTCTAATAATTTGCTTATAAATGACAATTTTGAAATAGGCCGATAATCATCAGTAGAGCTGGCATCAAAATTCAGTTTCTTCAATGTGGAGTTGCCTCAGCATGTTAAAAATAGGATGGAACATGACCATGCCTCTGTGAACTCTTGAAGATAGATAGCAATGTGGGGCCGATGCTGGTGAGCGTCCCAGACAGGACAGGGAGGTAATATATCTAAGGAGCACGATGAAGATTTAATTTGACCTGTTACTTTAGTTAAGTCATTCGGTGTAACTGGAGTAAAAGAAGTGTGTCCTTATCTCCCAGAGAAGGCCAAGTTGTTGTCAACAAAGAAACCTACACACAGAAATCCACTGAAAATGGAAACATCAGCCAAAATATCAGCAGGGATTTAATAATATAACTTTATGAACTCTGTGAAAATGATTTCCACATTATTTATTGTATACATTACAGCATTCAGGGCCTTTATAGACACAGACCCTACAGAGAAAATAATAATAATAATAATAATAATAAACTGAATTAATTTCAGCCTTGGTTTTTATTAAATATATTTTATTAATAACTACATTTCATATATAATATCTGTATCTTTACCATACTTTTGACTAGGTATGGCACTGTGTTAGTAGTTAGTTAGTAGATTTAGTAGTTGGTACCTGGTTAGTACTTGACTCATTGGCAAGTACTGTGGTAGTCAAGCAGTCTGTTATTTTCTCCAGTGGCATCATTAATCTTAGTTTTTGACATTTTTTTCCCCAAAACTCTGATATGATATATACCTTGAATGTACCTACCTACATTCAAGGTAGGTACATTCAGTTCACCTACCTTGAATGTACTGATGAATTAATGTTTGTGCCTTTTTCAGACAGCGATTAGTCTTTAACATTTTAAACTTGAATCACATTACACAACATCAAGGATTTATAATTAATCATTCTGTTTATCATTAATCATCATTTTCAATATTTCTGATCAGTTTTGTCCTCTATCAAATGAAAACAAATGTGCTTTTCTTTTAAAAACAGACTATTTAACATAACTCCAAACCTTTGAGCAGGTGTGAGTAATATCTAGGTTTTAAATTGTTTGCCACATTTCCTTTCAGCTCATAACAGAACAAAAAACTGCAGCAGACTAAATCTGATTTCCATTGGTCAGCATGATCCTCCTGTTCTATTTTGGAAATTCAGAAAAAATAGCCTCAAACAAACCTGTGAGCAATGCTCTCATCGTATCATTTTCACAAGGAAAATACACTTTGAAATGATCGTTCTCCTCTCAGGAGGACTGAGCTCAGGTTAAATTGGATTGTTTACTGTAGAGGTGATTAATCAGTTTAATCTTTAAAACGTCAGGATCTCTGCAGAGGTAAACATTAAAATATCTGGAGAACATCAAATACTAAGACTGGACTCGGGGTGCTTATACAGCAGTAAGGAGAACTCATATAATTTACAGCTGATGGGACTCATGAGTGTGATCGCTTGGATGACTTCTAATTCTCAGCAAAGGACACAGATGTTAGTATCTCTAAGCAGGTCCTCATACAGACATGGTAATTTCTACAGAAAAAGCTTTGTGATCAAGAATTATGATATTTATTCAATATCCATATTAGAGGAGTGTAAAAACACTCCTCTAATATGGATAATGAATAAATATCATAATTCTTGATCACAAAGCTTTTTCTGTAGAAATATGGATAATGCATAAATATCATAATAATATCATAATAATAACGATAATATGGCTGCACCATACCTAGTTAATCCTTTTTACACAAGCTAACAGACTCATGTATTGTTCTCATAATGTATGTGTTATTTCTTTGAAAAATAAAACACAGAGCTAACACAGAGATACAACCATTCACATCAACAGCCAAGTAGAGTAACCTCAAGGCGCTTTATATTGTCGACCCTAAAATAATACTGTGGTATGACTGAGACAGCGGGACCACAGATTCAGTGTTAAAGCCATTTTATTTATTCTGGCTGCAGCTCTCGGCTGTCAGCCGCACAGCACACCACAAAAACCAACACACAACAACCCACACAAAATAGTGTTCCCGTCTTTGTTTTGCACTTTTTTTTGTTTTCACAACCCTCATACGGTCAAGAGAAGCAAATCCACTAACCTTTAATCACGGAAGAGCTACGAACCACACTGTGAAGCATGGAGAAGGTGTGATGGTGTGGGGGTGCTTAGCTGGTGACACTTTTGGAGACTTATTCAAAATTGTAGGCACACTGAACCAGCAAGGCTACCACAGCATCCTTCAGTGTCAAGCCATTCCATCCAGTTTGCATTAGGTTTGGCCATCATTTATTTCTGATAAGTCTGGAGACTGTGCTGCCACTCCATGTTTTCAAGCTCACCATCTTGTTCTTTCTTCCTGAGGTAGTTCTGGCACAGCTTGGACTTGTGTTTTGGGTCTTCTTGCTGTAGGCGCACACCAGAGGGTCCTGCACGGTGCTGCAGAATGCTGTCGTAGCTGTTTTGGTTCAGGGTGCCTCTCACTCTGTATAAGTCACCGACCCTGGATCTAGCAAAACAGCCCCGGACCATCACACATCCTCCTCCACATTTGACGGTTGATGGCACACACTGTGGAACCATCCTTTCACCTACTTGATGGCGTACAAAGATCCTACGTGATGAACTGAAGATTTCAAATTTTGATTGATGAGCCCATAATACCTTCTTCCAGTCTTCAGTAGTCCAATGGTGGTGTTTCATGCCCAGGCAAGCCTCTGTCTTATTCTGAAGTCTTAGCGATGGCTTTCTTGCTGCAACTTGTCCTGTCAAACCTGCAGCTTGAATGAAGTCTTCTCTTTACAGTTGAAACTGAGACTTTCTTACGACCACTATTAAGCTGTGCTTGAAGCTGTTGTCCTTGTGAGCCGCCGATCACACAAGCTGTTAACTCTCAGAAACTTGAAATTTCTTTGAAATTTCTCTGTAGGAAAGATCTACATTTTTAGGTGTTATGATTGTTATCAAGAAATTCCATTGTTAATTGCCTTTTTCTCGCCATTTTTGTAGCAACACACTACTTTCTGCAGTACAATACTGTTCAATTGATACTGACGAGGGTATGGTACCACAGTGTATTCCAACACTGCTTTTATACAGACAGAGGGGGTTGTAATTAATCCAGAAAAGTTGGAACACCTGTAGGAATTACTCACACCAGCTTTCAAAGCTTCATGAACCGCCATTGCTGCAGAAGAGCTTTAAATTGTTAACCCATGTTTTCTTCCCTGAAAAAGGCCTGTTTGTATAATTCTGAAATATACATTATGTTTCAGTTTTGGTTAACCTTACCTTTTTTTAACCTCTAGCAGTTCACCTACCTTGAATGTACTTGAATGACTTGAATTGCAATAAATAACTGGACTTTCGATTGGTAGTGTCTATGTATATGTCTGTGCGTGTAACAAACCTTCATGGTGACATCTGCACACTGTAATGAAACACTACCTTTTTTTGTAAGACAGGCAGAAAGGCTGGGGCAATAGTACATGCTCACAGTTTTCACAAAATCTGATTAAGTTGTATACGCAAGTTTTTTTTTCTGTGCTTAGAAACTGCAATCTGTCCTCAGTGAGAGTGTCACACTGTTCTAAAATACTCCACAGTGTCTAGTTAGAGTCAGTAATTAAACAAGACATCTGCTAGAACGAGGAGCCAACTGAAAATGAAGCAAATTACTTTATTACTGCTGTTCAAAAAAATTGGATACGAGTGTAAAAGTTAATCCACTGCTCGGGTCAATTAAAGCCAAGAGAAACGCCTAAGTTAAAATTTTTCCTTTCCCTGTGATTGGATCACTAGCTGCCCAGTTTGCATGCCAAACTGTCCTTGGGAAAGATATAGGACCCCAAGTTGGACGGAAAACTCCTTTAAAAAGTGCTCGTTTCAATGAGGCATGTTGTGAAGTGCTTTGAGTACCTAAGTGAAAAAGTCATATATAAGAACTAACTCATGATAAAAAGAAATAAAGTGGACTAACTTAGTTGTAACATTTTATATTCTTTCTACTACTATGTTTAGTAGAAAGAACTTGAAGTCACTTTAAGTAGTCATGTATGATTTGATCAGTTTTTTACATCATTGTGGATGAACTTAGGGCCACTCTTCTTTACAGCTTTACTTAAGTTTATTTATGCTCAGCTCTCCTAAGGTCTGATGAGTGCAGTTCAGTTAGGCTTAGGTCTGCTCTTTGACTGGGCCTCCCTTTGAGAAGCAGTCTCAAAGGGAGTTCTGTAGCTCACATGTTGGAGCAGGTCATCTACTAATCAGAAGGGTAGGGTTCAATCCTTGGCTCCTCCCATCTGCATGCCAAATATCCTTGGGGAAAATACTAATGTCAAGTTGATCTCTGATGCATCCAAAATGTGAATGTGTGTGAATGTTAGATGGAAAGCATTGAAAAAACTGCTTGTATGAATGGATGTGAATAGGTGAATGGGGCATGTTGTATAGAGAAGAAGAGTGCCACTTGGTGATGATCAATTAATCAAGTATGTTTAAAAACCAGCACCTGGCTGCTGCATACCCTCTTGATTCCTAAGGTAACAGTATGGGTGTACTTAGTTTAATATGTCATGTGTTACTGTTCATCTAGCTGGCAAACCTTTAGGACACGCTAAAGATCTGATTATTTTTATGATGTCCTGATTTGTATAATAACCTGGAATTTAAAGATGGTATGTTTTTTTCACACAACCGAGAACAGAAAAGAAGACTTACTCACTGTGATGCATCAAAATCATGATTGGAGTGCATCCTTATAAACACATGTCAAATACCAACAGTCTGGTGTGGGTCTGGATTCGGTATAATCTTACACATAGGATGTCAGACCCTCAGGCTACCCTCTTGCTTGGCTCACCCACAGTTTTTTCTGTTTCTCTGTTTGGTCAGAGGCATTCATACCAGAGGCCTGTTCAAAGTCATTTGTAGAGCTCTAGCAGTCCTCATCCTGTTTCTTCTTGAACAATGGAGCAGATACCTTTATTGATGATGGCTTAACAACCATCTACAGACCTGTCTGGTTCTCCAAGAGTATGCCTGTCTCCTGGAATCTCCTCCGTGCTCCTGAGACTGTGCTGGCACCTTACAGTAATGCAAAACTCCAGTTAGCTTCAAGGCCTGTGATACACAGAATTTTTTAAACCACTTACAGGTCTGCATTTCTCATTTTTGCCATGGAACAGGATGTCCTGCTACGAACACAGCAGCAAGCACCTGGTTACCGTTCAAGCATTTAGATTCTGACGGGCAACCAATCAGAAGAATGTTGCCTTAAAACAACGTTCTTTTCTTTCCAAGAATAAAAATAATGAGCAATTAACTTTATAGTTGATCAGCAATCAAGAAGTTACAGCAATTCACAGACATAGATTGATTATAACTATATATTTGTTATTATATTATATAGTAGTAATAAAACAAATGAATCAGAATTTTGAACATATGTCAAATTAAGAACCATTTCAAAAATTGTTGATCAGCAGAAAGCTGGTATATGTTTGGTGAGAGTATTCACATCTCTCTGTTACTGTCCCTTTAAGCAGTCAGTGTAGACTGTGACTGGCCAGCTGAGTGAGTGAGTTTCAGCCTGTACTGCTGTAGTGTCGAGCCAGAGCAGCAGACAGCACAGGTGCTCAAGTAGAGCTCTCACCCTGATACACACACAAACACAGATTATTCACACACAATCGTGCACATTCTCTGAGTAGAGACAGCATGAGTACAGTGTCTGAGTCTCTAGATGGGAGCAGCAGGTCTCTGTCTGCAGCCAGGAGACACAAGAGTATCAGGAAAACCTCCAGGAGGATTTATTCTGCCTACCAGGACCACCAGGAGGGGTGAGTCTACTCTCTGTTCTTTCTTCACTCTTACTACTATCAGCACTTGTGGAACTCCTCGCTGCTCGGATCTCTCTGTCTATCTGTTTATAGCTGTTCTTTCAGAGCTTCAAGTTTCCCGTTAGTTACAAAATTTCTCATTTTTAAATGAAGTCAATAAGGGAAAACTGCAAAGATTTTTACATTCCTCTACAAATACATTTGTTTTGCTTGGCTCATTAATTAATATTACTAAAGAGTCTGACTCCTGGAAAGCAAACACAAAGAGGTACAGAGAGCATACAGATGAGTTTTTGTTTGATGTTTTAAATGTACTGCATGAATGATATATGGAAAAAATACCATCATTTGACGTCCCTTATTGATTATAATGCATATTTGCATAATAGCTTTGTGACAGTGAATATTGTTTGTGTATAGAAATGCTTGCATCGAGCTGTTCTTCTGTAATGGGGATATATTCAGTCATGACTTTTGCATTCCATATTTCAGCTAAAATAATTTATGTTACTCATTTATTACCATAAGTGTTTACACACAGAACAATTAGATTCACTCCTTTTGGAGATACAGCAAACAGCTGTCTTCTTCAATGCTTTCTTATTAAGAGTGAACTACAAATTTACTACAACAATTAACAACATAGCAAATGCATTTGTATTAATGGGCTATCTAATGGTAGAAAACCACTGGAGATACACTATTTGTAAGCTGTAAGTACTGCATCTGACAATCATATTGGTCATAGTTTTTGTCAGATAGTTTTCTGCATATGAAATCTCTCCTTTGTGGAAAATCAATGCACTGCTTCTGCATTCACCATCGACAAGGGTGTTTTTTGTTTAGGAAAAAAATTCAATAAAATAAAAATGAATAAATAGAAATAACAGCAACTGAATAATTTACTTGCGACCTACTTCACAGTTTCAGTTTAATTCAATAATCACATTAAAATAAGTTTAGATATCTCAACATACAGAAAACATAAACTTAAGTACAAGAATACCAGTGACAACCAAGACTTAGAGCTGCTAAATCTCATTCCCGGTGCTTCTAACTTGGCCTCATATGGCTCAAAGTAACCAAACATATGAAATGCCATGAGGCTGCTGCCTCATCAAGCTTTAATAAATGGCAGAAACAAAAAGAGATGGGAGCAATGGCTAAAAAAAATTAATTCCAAGAACCTTTTTCAAAATATGAAATCAGCAATTTCTTGAATATCAGCAGTCCATCATAGAGGCAAGATTGTAACCCAATCAACTGAACTTAGAAATACCTACATGTGCAAAAGAATGATTCATAATTGAAAAACAGGATTGTGATCTGTCCATCGCTCAGTTCTCATGCACATCCATTAGTGGGTTGGTGTGTCTTTGTGCATGTCATTATGTGTATTTGTCTCTGTCCGTGGCATGGCTTCTGACCTGGTCCCCTGGGGGTTGTGTCTGGGGTGGCTCGGGCCTCTTCTGTGTGGGCTGGAGAGGGGGGTGTTTGCCTGGTGGTTCTTGGTTTTCTTGGGCCCAAAATTACCATTTGTGATTGTTCGGGGTTCATTAGTTCTTATTGAATTGGCAGCTTGCATATCTTGCATATTTTGAAAACCACCATCCGTGCTGAAAAGTACAGTTGTGGCTGTAAAATCTGAGTGTGACACAAGTATTGGGTTTTCTAAAATTTGCTGCTTCACATCTGCAATTCACCCTGACATGCTGCCAATCAACTTCCTGTCTGATAGCAACCCATTCTTGAAAAATTAATGCGTGGAGTTTGTCAGAATTAGTGGGATTTTCTCTGTCTGCTTGCTTCTTGAGGATTGACCACAAGTTCTCAGTGGTCTGGGGAGTTTCCTAAACGACTTAGCTATAACTTTTGTTCAGCAGCTAGAATTAGTTTTGAAACAAGAATAGGACAACATTCCTCTCCCAAAAGTCCAGCACGTGGTCTCATAAGTTCCCAGGTGTTTAGGGAATGTCGTTAAAAAATGCAAATACTACACAACTGTAGATGTATCCCTGTCACGACTTTCCTTTATATGTTACATTTGCTCCATTTAAAAATGTTCTCACTTTATGACATTTTCAAATTATTTGCTTTTATTCACATTTAACACAGCCTCCCAACAATGTTTGTAACGGGGGTTGTATAAAGTGAGCCTGACTGGAAATATAGATTAATATGACACATCAAATGAAAAATATTATCTCAAAGTAGAGACATTGCAGCCATGTTTTTTTTCCACACTGAAACCTCTTAGATCCATTCTTTGTAACAGAGTAACACAGAACCATATTTCCCTTTGCCCGTGTGTCCTATTCTGTAGCTCCTCAGATGAAGAAGACAAAGTAGATGAGAGGGTGGACAGCAATGATCCAGAGGAGATGTTCCAAAACATTCAGTACCAGAAGGAGATCATCGCCAATATTCGGACTAGGCCCTGGCCAATGAGGCGCAAACTCAAAGTCCTAAAGTAACCATCTTTTTGATTGGGATCTCTGTGTAGACTGCTACTCTGTTGCTTTTCTTATTCTCTGTGTACTGTGTATATGGTATATATACCATATATATATAGGTTCCTAGATATATGCTCATACTGCAGACATATGAATAATTAAATATTCTTTTATCTGTCACTAACATACATACATATGTATGGTTTGAAGAGGACTGCATTACATTTAAAAGTGTTTCTGATATTACATACAAGAGTGGCATGCTTTTACAGAATGGCGAACAGAGATGGCCACCTTGCATTATCATACGCACACAAACAACACCACTTATTTCAGAAAAATTCAGCCAAAATTCAGAAGCAGTGTGCGAAAAACTAAGTGCACCCTTACAGCTTCCATAGGATAACTAGCACTGTTCAGTAAGTAAGATAAATTGGATCAGATTAAAACACAACATTTATGCTGCCTATCTGCACACTACACGGACATCTTCACATTTCTTGCCTCCTTCCTGGCTGAAGAATTGTAAAATATTATTTCTTCTGTAGTTAAATTGATATTTGCTATATTGCAAAAATTATTTATTATTAGCACACAACGACCAGCTGTGGAGGAGTTTTTCAAACCATTTCTTAGCAATAAAACATCATTAAAACACCTCGCCACAAATAAAACTGTATTATTGGAAAACTGTGCATAAAATATAAAAACCTAAAATGCACCTTTCTATATGGAGATTTCTGGTATAAGCTGGGAGGAGGATAGACCCACACAGCCTTATTTACTTAAAATAATAAAAATAAATGGCACTGTTACTGATGTGCTGAGGTTTTGCAGGCGGTCCTTAGGCGCACACTCACAGTCTCTTAGTGTTTACTGGTTCCAGACACAGGGAGAGCTCTGCACAGAAACAATGATTATTCCAGGGTAAGATGAATAGGCAGACAGAACGAATTGAGGCCAAGCACGTCACCTGGCTGATCCAACAATCTAGAGGTAGAGCAGGTCATCTACTGATCAGAAGCTTGGTGGTTGGATCCCTGGCTGATCCAGTCTCCATTCCAAATATCCTTGGGCTAACTCCAAGCTCTCTCTGATGCACTGGAGTATGAATGTGTGTAATTGGTAGATAAAAAGCCCTTAATCCTAGAAGAAAACGCTTGTATGAATAGGTGAATGAGGCATATATAAAATGGCTTGAGTGCTCTGGGAGAGTGGAAAAGTGCTATATAAGAATCATTTCATTTAACTCTGGGTACTCTAGCTTTGCAGTATAATTGTTATTTGTAATTTTAAATTGGCCATTAACTTTTGGTAGATGAAGTGCTTGAAGTGTATAAAATCACTCAATATCAATGGATGTATAATTCAAATCTGATTTCATCTTGATGCATGCTCAATCATCCAGGTAAGTAAATCTCCAAAGGTTGATTCTGTTCATCTGGACGTAGCATTTTGTGGGAGAAACGTTTCATCACTCATCCAAGTGCCTTCTTCAGTCTCAGCTGACTGCAGGTTTCCCCGATCTTAGAAACAGTACATTTGCACGAAACGTTTCTCCCACTGAAAACGCTGCGTCCAGATGAACAGAACCAACTTTTGGAGATCAAATCTGATTTGTTGTATAGCACTGTTTATTTGGTTAGTAGGACTAGAAAAGCACTACACTTTATTGTCAAAAATATTCACTCATCTATCTTCACATGCATATGAACTTGAGTGACATCCTATTCTTAAGCCATAGGGTTTAATATGGTGTTGCCTTTATAGCTATAACAACTTGAACTCTTCTGGGAAGGCTTTCCACAAGGTTCAGGAGTGTGTTTGTGTGAATTCGGACCATTCTTTCAGAAGCATATTAGTGAGGTGAGACACAAGTGTTGGACCACAAGGCTTGGTTCACAACAGGGTCCAGTCTCTGGACCTTACTTTGTGCACTGGTGTGCAGTCATTTTGGAACTGGAGGGGCCATCCCCAAGCTTTTCCCACAAGGTGTAGAGCATGAAATTGTCCAAAATGTCTTGGTATGCTAAAGCATTAAGAGTTACTTTCTGAAAAACAAGCTCACATCGTAATCCCTGCTCAACCAAACTTTACTCTTGGCATAATGCAGTCAAACAAGTACTGTTCTCCTCGCAAATGCCAAGTCCAAACTGATGGAGATGGAGAAGCATGATTCTTTACTCCAGAGAACACATCTCCACTGTTCTGGAGTCCAATGCATCCAATGCTTTGCACTTCACTTGGTGATGTAAGGCTTGGATGTAGTGGGCATGGAAACCCATTCCATGAGGCTGTCTGCAAACTATTCTTGAGCTAATCTGAAGGCCATGAAGTTTGGATGTCTGTAGCATTAGACTCTGCAGAAACCTGGCAACCTCTGTGCACTATGCATCTCAGCATCTCTTGACCACACTCTGTAATTTGTATACCCCACCACTTTGTGGCTGAGTTGCTATCGTTCCCAATCATTCCCACTTTGTTTTAATACCCAGCAAGGACATTTCACAAGTGGACTTGTTGCACAGGTGGCATCCTATCATAGTACCACATTGGAATTCAGTGAGCTCATGAGAATGAATCATTCTTTCACAGAAGCATTAGTAGCAGCCTAGGTGCTTGATTTTAAACCGCTGTAGCCATGGAAGATGCCGAGATCAGATGAGATCGGGCGCGCTCAGGATGGTATGGCCGTAAGATAGTTCAATGCATCCATAGCATACATTTACACTGCTTTGCAGATGACACCCAACTCTATCTGTCCATGAAGCCAGATAACACACACCAATGAGTTAAACTGCAGGAATGTCTTAAAGACATAAAGACCAGGATGGCCGCTAACTTTCTGCTTCTTAATTCAGATAAAACTGAGGTCAGTGTATTCGGCCCTGAAAATCTGGTATATGGACCAGGTGACCATAAATCCTCCCTTAGTCATGCTGCAATAGGCGTAGGCTGCCGGGGATTCCCATGATGCATTGAGTATTTCCTTTTCAGTCACCTTTCTCACTCACTACCCACATAGCAAGCAGGTCTGGCCCGGATCTGGTATCAAGCCGGCACTGCTGGTTTACTTCTGGCATGATAAGACGTATGTCATCCAGATATGGGCCAGGTCTAGTAATGACGCCACTGTTTATGTGATGGCATGCCACATCTGGCCCGATTGTGGTTTGATTTATGTGGCCCAGGCTCATAGAAAACAGGTCTTCCCTGGATCTGGCGTCAAACTGGCACTTCTGACTGATTAGTGTCATGGCAGGGTGTATGCCAACTAAATGTGGGCCAGGTCTGGTAATGATGGCACTATTTATGTTCCTATTTTTCTGTTTCAGTCAGAAGACCCAAATGCCATGTTGCAATATGATATTGCTATGGTAGCCAACGTTTCAAATGCAGATTTGACAGGTTTGTGAGTGTACACTTTATCCAAAACCTAGTGAGGTTTTACTCATCTTTGCCAGTGGCTGGCTGTAACTCAGGAGGTAGAGCAGGTTGCCGACTGATCGGTTAGTGGTTCGATCCCTGGCTTCTCCAATCTGCGAGTCTGTGTATGAAAATAGTTAGGAAGCACTCAGTCTAGAGAAAGTGTGCGATTGGGTGAATGTGGCATGTTGTATAGAGCACTTTGAGTAATCCGGGAAAGTAGAAAAGTGCTATATAAGAATCAGTGCATTCACTGTCTGAAGAGAGTTTCGTCATGTTACTTTTGCACTATTATGTTCCGGCACATGTTGTTATTACATGGCTTGATTAAGTTACACATTAGGCTGACATCTGGGCCAGCAGTGTGTCTGCCACTGGCCCGTGGCTGCACACAACTTACACATGGCCCACATACCACAAAGAATGACGGCCCTTTGGTGGCCCAGATCAGGTTTACCGGAGGTAATCCACACATGGGCCAGCACAGGACCACCAATGTGTCTGCAACTGGCCTTGTGCTGGCCCATGTGTGGATTACCTCTGGTAAACCTGATCTGGGCCATACCAATTTTGCTATGTGGGTATGTGTTAACAGACCTCTCTGCATTGAATCATATCTGTTATTAATCTCTGTCTCTCTTCCACAGCATGTCTTTCATCCTGTCTTCCTTCTCTCTCCCCAACCGGTCGCAGCAGATGGCCCCCCCTCCCTGAGCTTGGTTCTGCTGGAGGTTTCTTCCTGTTAAAAGGGAGTTTTTCCTTCCCACTGTTGCCAAAGTGCTGCTCATAGGGGGTCATATGATTGTTGGGTTTTTCTCTGTATGTATTTTTGTAGGGTCTACCTCACAGTATAAAGCATCTTGAGGCACTGTTGTGATTTGGTGCTGTATAAATAAAAGTGAATTGAAATGGAAGATGGATTGGAACACTCCAAAAGTTGATCCTGTTCATCTGGACGTAGCGTTTTGTGGGAGAAACATTTCATCACTCATCCAGGTGACGTCTTCAGTCTCAGCTGACTGCAGGTTTCCAATCTTATAAACAGAACATTTGCATAATGACTGAAACCAGCCCACTGAAGGAACAATGGGCTGGGAGGTCAGTTCCTTAATCTTAATTATGCAAATTCTCATGACCATTGATCAACAACAATGGATTGGAACACTTAAAGTCACTTTGATGTGTCAGTGAATACTTTTGGCAATATAGTGCATATTAAAGCAAGCAAATTATACAAAAGCATTCTAAAGTCAAATATAAGGGCATCTGTTGCAAAGCTAGGCCAAAATTGTGTAATGGTGCAATTGGGACAATGATCCCAAGCACACCAGCAAATCTACTACAGAACTGTCAAAGTTTCAGAGGACTCAGATGCAGCTGAGAAAGGTTCTACAGGGCTTAATGAACAATTTCAAGAATGACTCCAGCAAAAATGTTTACTACAATTCTTTCACGAGTCAGGATATCACTTTTTCCACAGGGCCAGCTTTGCAATGTCAAATCCTCTAGAACAGTTTGCAACTGAGAGTGTGTGAGAGACTTGGCCAGACAGGTAAGTACTCAAACAACACAGCAGCTAGGTTTTGACACAGAGTAGGGCAACAATGTGGTGACAAATGGAGAGGAAAGTACTGCCAGTGACAGGAAACAGATAAGCCTGTTTTAAGCTGGCTGAAACAAGTTAAGCATATACACACACACAGGGTGATATGTCATGCAATTACATGGCACGTTACACTGTAATTTTAGAATGTGGTAAATACCAGATTATTTTTAATTATTTCCTTGTACATAAAACCTTGGAACTAAAGGAAGGTGGGAGGGTTTTCACATCACTGTACACGAAGAGCATATATGAGGGACACATTTAATTTTACCTTCACCAATTATATCTTTTTGCATAAGGAAATATAATTTTTTTGATAGTATCAACAAATAGTACCGACTGACTGAGTCCAAGGAGACTACTAACAGAGAACAAGCTGAGCCACAGAGAGACAGAGGGAGTAGATAGAGAGCTCCTGAGATGTGCTGAGTGTGTGCCATGAATAACAGGTTTTATATGGGCAGTTTGCTATTACCGCAGAGGTTTTATTACCATCATCAGGGATGGGATGCTAGCGTGCAGTTTTAAACCCCCTTTAATCTCAGGGTGAGTGTAATTATTTCCACTGCGAGAACAATTTATTTCACACCACAAATTTGTGCTTTTTACCCACATTTCCAGACACGAGTTGTTCTTCAGCCCTGTAAATGAACATGCATTTATTGTAAAGCCGGAGTTTCTTTTTTGAGCCTTGAAAGTCTGTAAATTATTATACAATTCACACACTCAGTACTCAGTGGCTTCCTAGTTGTTCCTTGTGCCATAACAAAAGCAGGTTTGATTACTTGAATCAGAGAAATAATATTTATATATTGAAAATCTTTGTGATGTAAAAATGTTGGGGCTACTTCAAGAACATTTAATTAAGATTTAATTTAATTTAGAGTTATGCTCACTTGGTTATTGATTACTTGATTGCACTTGATTATGTGTACTGCGTAAGTATTCACAAAATTTTCATTTGTAAAAATGCAAGTAACTGAATGGAAAGATCTTTTTCAGTTTAAATAAATAAATGTACTTGGTGGACTTTATCTGTGTGATTCCCAGGCAGGCCAGAGAGATTGTTCTGAGATATGAGGGCCGACTAACCAGAACCAGAGGTTACCAGACCGCAGGAGCTGATGTACGTCCACCAGCCTTTCATCCACTGACTTTTTTTTTGCACTAACAATCTAATCCTGCTGGACTGGAGATTGGAGAAACAGATTGCTTAATGTATTTATAGTGCATTATAGATCTTGTCCACAACAGGATAAAGTGCTATTTCAGGGCAGTTTTATTTCTCTGCACTGCAGTGGCCTGATAATTACAGCCAAAACAGTAAATTGTGTTGGATTTCTTATATAAAGGCTGCTGAGTTTTGATCTTTCAAGGCTCTTTTCCTCTGTGGGCTGAACACACATGTGTATAACTCTTTATTCGTATTTGCAAAAAGATTAAGTCAGACAGTGAGAAAGATAGTTGTGCTGCAATAATCCATGGAGCAGCACAAGTGAATTTATAGCCCATGTTACGGCGCAGTTAATTCAATGTTTGGGCTGCTTCCCACCCATTAGAATAAATTGACTTTCAGTGAGCAGTCTGACGATCAGGTATCAGTTCTACAGTTTGGCTCACGGTTAATTGAAAATCAGAATCAATGGCCCAGCTGACCTTCTCTTGATTAACAATTAACAGCTTAGTTGTGTTTCTTATCTTTCAGCACTCTAAAAATGATACAGCCACACTGTTTCAGATCTCAGGTGTCTGCTACTTTATTATATGCTGAAAATTGAAAATTAGACAGTTCATCAACACACAATAAATAAAAAATGTAACTGCTGTTATAATTTTAGACTTTACTGAGAGCTTTTCATCACAGAAACAATGGTAGAAGTAGTTTTTTGTTAAACCTCTGTCAGTGTTTCTCAGCTTGATTCTCTCCTGCAGCTGCTGAAGAAACTTTCCCGTTTGCTTTACAACATTGTGGTGCTGTTCATTCCTTGGGAAGTCAGGATCAAGAAAATTGAAAGTGAGTTATCTGTTTTCTTTGTTCATGAAAACGTGTTTCCTACATCTGCTGGCTAAAAAGAAAAGAACAAAGGAGCAGGGTGGGTGTGTGTGGGAGGGGATAAGAAATCACTCATGATGTTCAACAGGACAGAAAATGGGAAATTTGCTAGAAATAACTTTGAAAATAGCATCTTTTCATCAAGGAAAGTCATTGCTTTCCACATCGGCTTTGCTGTGATATATTCAAACATTAGATGGCCTTATTAAACTGGATTTAGCAACAAAGAAATATTTGTGATTTTAGCTCAGAATCAACACATTACCATAAGCATATGGACTTTGAAGAGACGTTGTTGTGAACTGGGGCCATTCAAGAGAAAATAACACACTGATTTAAATGCATATCAAGAACAACAGCACAACAGATCCAAGGATACTGCTGGTTGCGTGTTTAAGCTATTCAAATTTGTGGTACAGCAGAACACAGTCCAACAGACTGTTATATCCAAAGTGTTATATGCTTGGATGGTTGTCCGGAGAGGAGTCGTGTTATGGCGTATTAGGCCACCACAGTAAGCTGGCCCAGTACAACTGCCTAATTTGACATATTTTTCTCAAAAAAATCTTTTTATTTCTTTGTCATTAATGTACCAAATAGTGTTTGCTTCCAGGCACCATGAATGTGAAAAGTTTATTCGGTGAGCTGTGTTTATTATTAAGTTAGATTAAGCTTTGAAAGAAACCACCAAGCTTTTTGATCAAACAGCACCATTAAAATGCATTACTGTCAGTGGTGTACACCTACAGCAGTGTTTGTGTGTGAACTATGTGCAACGTATTAGTCAGTCTTATTTTGATGTTTCCTCTGACTTGCTGAGGTCACTTTGGGTCAGGCGTGGCCTCCTACTTTATCTTCCTCCGCTGGTTGTTTGGGATCAACATTGTTCTCACCATCATGACTGGAGCCTTCATTGTCCTACCAGAGGTCAGAAAATCTCTCATACCATATATGGATGGATGGACTAGAAAGTTCTAGTTTCTTTAGAATGGTAATCCAGCTGCAAAACTACACAGGCACTTGACAACCTTGCTTTTATACAGGAATATAATCCTAATACAACCACTTAGCAGCAGCTAAGTTAAGTCCCCTGCTGGACAGAGAGATATCATAGATGAATTGCACTCATTGGCGCCAACTAATTCAGACTCATTGCAAGATTTATGACTCTTAGAGATATCTATGATAGCAATTTTCTATTCATAAATGCGTGTTAACTTCTATTTCTCATACGGTGCTGTGAAAATGTTGAGTTTAACTGGCAATGAGTCTTTCACATCCTGCTGGAATTTGCTCCACTCTTCTTTACAGATATCAGTTACATTTAAGTCCAGAGTTTGACGAGTCTGCACCAAAACCACCAAAAAAGATCCATTTTTGATAAAGCATATAGTTCAGGCTGGATCGACTGTCATCTGTCAGATGATCTGGGGTCTTTGACCCTGCACTTATTATTATACCCTCTGCATATCCTTCTTTATTCTTGTTTGGATTTTCATATTCCAGCCATAATTTCTGGGGTTTTTTTTTCTTGTTTTGTTGTTGTGGTTTTTTTCGGGGGGGTCCATGATATTTTCAGGTTGTATTTTGTTTTCATAGTTGGATGTTTTCTGCCCATCTGTGTTCTCCATATCAAGTTTGCATTCTTGTGTCCTGTGTTTAGTTACGTCCTGTTTTAATTTGTTACCATGGTAATGTTGTGTGCATTGTCTTTAATTTTGCTTGCCCTTCTCTCGTTAGCTAGATTTGATCTTTTATCCACCTGTGTCTTGTCTTCCCCAGCTTCCTCCCCTCTCCCTAATTACATTGAGTGTATTTAAGCGCTTAGTTTTCCTCAGGTATTTGTTGTACTGTACTGTTTGACAATATTTTCTTGCAGGACTCTTTCAGCACATATCCTGTCCTTTTCTTTTCTTTTAAATTTAAATGTTAAATATCTTAAATAATAAAACCTACACAAATGGTCAATGATGAGTTTTGTATTTAATTTTTACCCCAGTAAATATAAATATTGTTGATTTGTCCTTTAGTACAGATTATAGAATATTTGCAAGGCAAGGCACGGACCGTAATAGTGGGATGGGGGTGCACCTGGATATATATCTAACACTGACATGCAGACACAAGCAATTTTCTCAGACATAACTTACAATGTCATTCCCACTGCATATCTTGATCCTCCATTTTTCTTCTTTCTCACTTCATGGTTTGTTGGAATTACCACTCTGCTGTTCCTATTTGCACGTCTCACCTTTATCTCACCTTCCTTAGTGAATAATATTGTTCGCTATCAAACATTATAGGTTCTCATTTTCATGTTTCTGTATTGTACTGGGAATTGAGTGGGTGGCCGTAGCTCAGGTAGCAGAGCAGGCCACTTACTAATCAGAAGCTTGGTAGTTTGAGCTCTTCTTGTCAAATGTCCTTGGGCAAGACACTAAACCCATGTTGCTCTCTAATGCATCCATTGGAGCATGAATGCATGTTAATGTTAAATAGAAATCACTAGCATAGAAAGAGTACAGAAAAACAGTGTTTGTGTGAATGAGGCAAGTTTGACATAGAGTATTAAAGAACCAGTCCATTTACCAATTATTCAACAGAGTTTGAATGTAGGGTCAGTCCACCGGAGTTATCACTGTCTTTCTTTAATAACACACTCTCAAAAACATTTACAGTGTTCCTCAGTCAATGTTCAATGTTCAGTTGTTCAATGTACTGCACACAGTGGAACACAGGCTTGTTTGAGCCTGTGCTGAAGCTGTAGGTTTGCTCACTTATAAAGAAATTAACATCCTCCAAAAAACAAACATTTAATTTTAATCAAAAAACCCCCAGTAGAAAACATATTGGCTAAAAGTTAGAAATTGACTTGCATGGCCAACTGAAATAAGTATTTGATCCCCAGGGAAAACATGGTGGAGAAACCCTTGTTGGTAACAATGTTTCTACCTCCGTATTTGACTGTGGGGACAGTGCAAGATTTCAATCTAATATGGCGCACTGTGCTTCAAATTGTGTTCTTTGTTTCTACGGTACTACCTTTAAATCATTAACATGCTCCTCCTGGTTGTTGTTTTACAATAATCACACCAACAGTTGATTGATTTTTGAAAATAATAATACTCACAAAGCTTCTAGGTGACGATCTTTAAGCTCATTCCAAAAGGCAGATCTACAACCCCTCACATCCCATGTGGAAAACAAATAGTAAAAACTTATATGTGATTACTCATAAAAGTGGCCACTTTCTCATTACTTTCATATATTGTTTTGGTAAGTATACAAAACATACAAGTTTCATTATATAATTTTTCAAGGGATCTTATATCTGTTTTCACTCTTATATGCTTTTCATACAAGTTTCACACAACACAGATACAAACTTTATAAGATTTATATACTGTATATCTTTTCCATTTGGGATGCTTTGACATTGCTAGGCCATTTGTATTGTTAACACCTGAACAACTGTCTAAGTAAACCTCATCACTCGGGCCACTCACACTCAGAGGCTACTCAGACCAAGTCCTTTGCAACCTGTTCTTCTATTGTGTGCCTTCCTGTTGGTTTGTATATATTTCTCATGTCTTTTTATCCCTGCTGTCTTACTATTTATGCTTCACACCTGCACAGTTGTTGTGGAGCACCAACAGTTAGGTTGTACATGTACAATGTCAATAAAGGGCTATTATATTGTATTAAATTATCTTGTTATGCAGGTAGATGGATGGAGGGATGAAAGGGTTATCAAAAATCCAACAGTAACACCAAGTTTTTTTCAATTTTAAAAATCACAACAGAGTTTCTGTAACCTTGCACTGATCTTTACCTGACACTAACGCTGCCATGTGCCTAAACCCAGCAAAACCGTAACCAGGAGGCATGGACTAAAAAAAATCAAGCATAATGTTACAAAGTCCAGCTGCAGATCAGTAGGCGATCTTAATATCAGCTCAGCTCAGCTGTCAGCGAAACTGATGTCCTTGTACGAATCGTCAAGTCTTGCTATTGCTCTCTGGCTCTGGATGAAGGAAGGGGAAGTCCCAGAAGAGTCATACCACCAAATAGATATGGTCACCTGTAGATAACATGACTGAAATGCATTTTATTTATTACAATTACAGTGCACTGAACTATGTTTGTGTGCACTAGCTGCTGGCTGGAGCACCATTTGGAACAACAAGAAGTAAAACTATTCCCAAGGAACACCTGGCTTCAGCCCAGGACCTGGACACCATCTGGTCTCTTGGGGCAAGCTTCTTTCTTTTTACTGTTCTATCAATAGCACATTACTTACAGATAGACTAGAACATTATTTAAACATTATTTTACTCCCTTTCTGACCAATTAAGATAAAACCGATTGAAACCTCTTCCAGTCCAAAAGTTGCATTAGAGTTAGAATATAGGACTGAGCAAGTAAAGACATAATTCTTTCATCCCTATATAAACATTTCATCTAATGGATACTAATGATCATGCTCCAACTGATTTCCTTTACTGTTTTCATTTTCACCATTTTTATCTCTTTGTGTGCATTGCCATGTGTGTTTGTGAAAATGTGTTGTCTTTGATTCTTCACAGGGCTACCTCCAGTACTCTGTGTTATTCTATGGTTACTATGGCAGGGTGAGGAAAATCGGCAGTGCAGGGTACCGATTACCCCTTGCCTACTTCCTGGTTGGAATGGCTGTCTTTGCCTACAGTTTCATCATTCTGTTGCGAAAGTAATCATTATGCTCTTTAACACTTATACTGATGCTATAATTATCTGATGGGTTAGCAATGTGATGTCTTAGAATGATTTCAAGTTTGTTAAAAATTGGGGGAAAACTGGGAAAAAAAGAGTTAAAAGTTAATCTAATCTTTACTTATCCCTACTGAATCTATAACATTTCACAATAACATGGTCAGAGTAATGTTTAGCATAATTTCCAATCTTTGCAACATTTAATAATCAGCAACTTAATATAAAATAAAAAGGTCAGGACCCAATGTTTCCCAGCATAACATTGCACAAGGCATCACATTGTTCTCTTCTCCCTGTTGCTGTTAATGCTTCACTGATGGTGAAGGACTGTTATTATTAAAATAAAAAACAAGATGTGCAAAATATATCGTCTGATAACATGCCCTGAAAAATAATATTTCTGCAGAATGGCAAAGAATTCACGCCTGAGCCTGGCCAGTGCTTCTGATGAAAGCTTCACTTTCTGCTGGAGAGTGTTCTGTGCCTGGGATTACCTGATAGGAAACCCAGAGGCTGCAGAGAGCAAAGGAGCTGCCATTGTTAACAACATCAGGGTCAGAGAAGAATGTAACTTGAACTGTGCAATTAATTTTTTTTTAAAGAACAAGATATTTAAATTATGACCTAAGCACAAGTGACTATCAATATTTTTCTGCACAGGAAGCCATTGTCGAAGAGCAAGAAAAGAAGAAGGATACCAGTCTGTAAGTGCTTGTTTGTGAGCATTGTTTTGTATGTTTTCTGTTTGTCCAGCTTCCTCCAGCTCAGTCTATCGAAGCTATAGGTGAGTGACTGTTTATTTACTACCCCAAGAAGTTGCTTCTGTTCATCTGGACGTAGCGTTCAATGCAGAAGCGTTTCGTCACTCAGCCAAGTGACTTTTTCAGCCTCAGCTGACTGCAGGTTTCCCCAACCTTATAAACAGTACATTTAGTGCATAATGACTGAAACCAGCCCACAGAATGAACAATGGGCTATGAGGTCAGTTTCATGATCATTAATATGCAAATATTCATGACCATTGATCAAAAACCATTGATTTGGTGAATGGCTGCAATCACAGCATTGTAAGATGGGCAGGTACCTCAGGCTAGGCTCAAGGCATGCTGAAAGATGCCTTTTGCTGCTACACTAAGGAATGTTTACTGTTCCTCCACTACCTCAACTCATCATCATAAAACCTTATTATTATGTTACGTTGTGTGTTTTTTTTTGTCACACTGTCACTTTGTTGCTCTTGTTTGCACATTTGCACGTGCACTTTGTTGTCTGCTGTCTGTTAACAAAAAAAAAGTCTTCCTTAGATAGTTAGTTTTTGTTATTTATGTTGTAATTTATGTTAGGTCAGTCTGTCTTGTCTCTGCTAGCCAGCTAACTAGGCCTCTTAGTTAGCTAGTTTAGTGTTTTCTGTTAATTTATGTTGTAAATTTATGTTGCATGTAGCACCTTGGTCCTGGAGGAACGTTGTTTCGCTTCACTGTGTACTAACTGTATATGGTTGAAGTGACAATAAAGCCAACTTGACTTGACTTGACTTGACTTGAAGAGATTATGTTTCTTAGATTATCTCAGAAGATAACGATGAGGTGGCTGGGGAAGGGGAGGTAAATTCTGCTTAGACTGCTGTGCTTGGATAAATGGCAGGAGATGGATGGATACAGATCTTTAAGTAGCCACAATTCCTTGAAAAACAAGTGCATCTCCTGAAACTGAAAATGGCAGTGACATGTAAATCATTGGTGACACTGAGCTACAATACTTTACTTTAGGCAGAAGTCTAAGTTGATTAAACCCAAAGATTTTCTAATGTTTAAAATCTATACATGTCCAAATCCTTGACATTTTATATTCTAGGTTCAGTGTTGGTATAGGGAGGCTAAAATCCTACAGACAGACTCATGGCTGAAGGTGGTCCTTTTGAAAGTCTATGTAAATAATGAAAGAGTCAGCAATAACAAAAACAGGCTGCAGTGACACCTTATCTGAAGTGTATGTTGTTCAGAACATCCAACATACACTTCAGATGTCTACTAAGAATAGTGCATCACAATTACATCCACTTTTCTAACTGATCATTGCCAATGACACTGTGTTTTCCCTCAGTGCAGTTCTGATCAGTCTACGGATCTTGGCCAACATCCTGGTGCTCCTCTCTTTAGCAGGGAGCATATACATCATTTACTTTGTGGTGGATCGTTCTCAGAAACTGGAGCAGAAGAAGCCGGAGCTGACGCTATGGGAGAAGAATGAGGTACAGGAACAGACTGGACGTCACCATCCTTATCATCAGTTATTTTAATTGGATAATCCAATATACAATACAGTTCTAAGGAACCACTGAAAGTGGAGACTTGACATGGATCCAGTGGAAGGCAACTACTAAATGTATATATCCATCTGCCAGTTTTAGAGAGCTTTAGTCACCTTACAGCAACCAGCTCACTCTCACAACAAAATGTGTAAGCTATGCTGATCAACTGTGCAACGCACGTACATGTGTACTCTGTGTGCATACACACATACAGAATTTCTTTTTCTCAACAGAAGCTGTAAAACTGCTACATGCCTACATCTTTTGACCTGTTTTTTATAACACACATTGTTGCCCAAAGGATTCACTCATTCATTCAAATTATTGAATTCAGGTGTTCCAATCACTTTCATGGTCACAGTTGTAGAGGCATGCAGACTGCTTATACAAACATTTGTGAAATAATCGTTCTTTCTCAGGAGCTCAGTGAGAGGGCATTGCAGTACCGTGCAACCATCAAATACTCCGCAGTCAACCGCTAGTGGCATTATGCCACACTGGAAGTGACTGAAAAAGGCACGAAAAATTGCAAAGCGGGGTCAGCGGAAACTGTGGGATGTAGTGGCCATCAGAGCTCAGGAACATTGCATAGAGCTTCATAGGTTTTCATGGGCAAGCAGCTGTATCCAAGCATTACGTCACTAAAGTGACTGATGTAGTGGTGAAAAGTACACTGCCACTGCCACTTGGGTGCTTATAGCCGAACTTCTTGCCACACACGCATAACTGAAAACTGCACCTAATGAGCATGTTCAGTTATTATAAACATTCAATGAATGAATTAATCAATGAATCAATTAATTAGGACCCTCGGAAATCACTGAAATTGTTAGAAACAATGAGACATATTTGTTACATGTATTTCAGTTAAAATAACAAACTTTTCTCCAACTACCAACTACCCATCAGTTACTTATGTATCCATCTACTTTCCAGGTGAGTGTAGTGGTTTCTCTCATCACCATGATTGCTCCATCTGCTTTTGAACTGGTGGCTCAGCTGGAGATGTACCACCCACGAACCTCACTGCGATTCCAGTTGGCCAGGTACCATTGTCTAACCACAGCCTATAATGACACAATAATGGCATACTATACTATTCAGAAAATGAATGGAACCCTTGCACTTTTATGCCAAAAATCTAAGTTAAAATTTTCCCTTAACTTTGGTTAGTTATGTGACAAGTGATACGAGTTGCAACTTACTCAGGCCCTGCATGTTTTTAAAGTCTTTAATTTAAATCCTAAGTAGTACAAAAACTGGTTTTATGGTTTTTTAAAGTTTGTGGTGATTTTATGGGTAACTGGTATTAATAATATAGTTTCTACTAACCAAAGTTAGTTTGGTTTGTGGGTTAGGTTGTTTTGTTCTCAACAAATTATCCAATGTTTGTCAGTAACAATTTTTACTTTGACTATTTCATTCATCAAAATCTGATGAGAGCCCTCATTGGAGCAGTATTTATATAATAACTGAAAGGTCTTACAATGCTCATCAATTTACAGGGTCCTTGTCTTATACCTTGGGAATCTCTACAGTCTCATCATTGCTCTCCTTGATAAAGTCAACAGTATGAGCTCTGCTGTGAGTATGTTAACTAGCCCCAGTTAAGAATTAGTTATCTAGTTTCAAATTTGAACACTATTTAGAAAATAATATAAGATTAATAATTTAATTTGCTGGTCATTCATTTTGCCACAGTTACTAGAAAATAGCACAAACAAGTTACCAAATATTCAACCATGGAAGAATTGCTACAAAAATCATGTTTTGAAAATGCAGTATTTAGTGGACCTTCTGATGAAATTAAAAAAGTAAATGGTAAATGGCCTGTATTTGTATAGCGCTTTACTAGTCCCTAAGGACCCCAAAGCGCTTTACGCATTCAGTCACACACACATTCACACACTGGTGATGGCAGCTACATTGTAGCCACAGCCACCCTGGGGCGCACTGACAGAGGCGAATATTGATGAATATTAATATGAGTTTAAATCTGTATTGTGACTCAGGCATTTTATTTATTTTTTGTTGCAATTTATTATTTAAAAATATAGTGTGGAATTGATTGTTAAGGGGAGAAATATCACTGATGTAAAAGTCCCTAACTCACAAAATCTCATCAAATACAATACATATGGCTTTAAACAGTTAAACTGAGATACATATCATTCAAGTGAAAATTCAGTATATAGGTTATTTTAATGTTGACATGAGCAACACATTGGACAGAAAATAACTGGTAAACTTGTTATGCTAACAACTAGCACTATTCCAGTGGTATTACTTTCCTACATTTTAAAGCCAAAGTTGAGACTTTAAGAAGGTAAACACAGTTCATTCTATCTTCAGTGTCTTTAAAATGTGTCCAAGTATTCTGTTTACTTTTTATGCACATAAACTAACTAGTTTGGAATTATTTTCTACTATCTTTATACTAATGCTAATGCTAATTGTGTAGGCTAAATAAGCTAATATGCTACAATGCTCAGTCCTACATTTTAGACATCTAAATTCAGGGGTTGCATCCTTCAAAGGCCACATTTGAAGGCTGATTATGTCACAGCAATGCGAAGAAGACTGTTTTCCCGGGATCTGAAGGATCCATGAGGCGGAACCTTGGTGGCCCACTCTATCCCAAGATTCATTGCGCATTGGTGGTTCTAGAATATTTTTTGAAAAGGATGGTCCAAGGAATGCAGTCAAGGAATAAACTCAAATGTAATTGTTTTTATCTTACTCAAATATCCTGTAGCAAAAATATTAACAAGAGTCTAAAATGTCAAAATTCTACAAAGTTTCAGATGTGTAACAAGTTAGTGATGCTTTTAAAGCTTTTACATTAAAATATAAGCAGTCAAAAAACTAACTTACATGTTTTAGAGTTTGTGTAGATGCTATGGAAAATTGATACTAAATAAATCCAGATTTCCCTTCAGTTGTGTATAACTTTTAAAATCTTCTGCACATACAATTCAGTTTTGATACCAAAGCTGGGTCTGTTTAGTGGTGTGAAGTTTAATATGCTTCAGTGTTTGGCGGGGCCATCTGCCGTGACTGGTTGGGGGGAGAGAGGGAAGACGGAACAAAAGACATGCTGTGGAATAGAGCGACTGAAGGCTTTTCAGGGAGTTTTTAGGACATCCTGACATAACAAATTACAGTAGTCCAGCCTAGAAGTGATAAATGCACGAACAGGTTTTTCAGCTTCACTTTGAGACAGGGCATCTCTATGGGCTGAAATCTGTGCCATCAGAAACTGAAGTTGAATAAGTTAAATTTGAATTTGAATTAGCCTAATTTGAAATTCAATTTATTGGTTTGAAAATGATCATCACTAAATTGAAATTGAATTTTATATTTTGAAATTGAATTCATTTGCTTTGAAACTGTATTTTATCCTTTAAAAATTTAGCTCTCGAATAATTTCAGATTCACTTCTCACCATTCAGTTTCAGTTCTACAATTCAGTTTTTTGGGACTTACATCCGGTTCCGGTTCAAGAGTAATGAGCGCAGATTAATAGAACTACGTTTTACTAGCGGACCGAAAGTGTTACTGACGGGAATCTACAGCATCTTGAGCTGAATTAAGACTTCAGAAGTCATTCGTCATGTCGAATGACCAGCGGATAAACTCTCAGGTTGGTAATAAATGTATTACATGTATAAGAACAAGCGTCATGTTAACAAATGATAGCCGTAAGGTAACTTTTATGCTTATTGTAGCTGCTAGCTAAAAACGCTAATTTAGCGTAGTTTGCCCTGAATTCAGCTTTGACAATTAAACATCTTTTCTTGACCTAAGTTCACACATAACTTAGGTTATTCTCATTTATTAACAGAAACCATTAATTGGTGGAAACTGCCATTAATCACAAGTAAATGTTATCTAACAAATCAATACACTACATCGCTGACAATTAAAATAGTTGTCTGTATCATAATTTGTGTATCTTTTCCTAGACTTACTAGGAACTATAGTTTGTGCATTGTTTTTCACAAATACGCTGTGATAAAGAGAATACAGATGAGCTAAGAAAAAAGAGTTTACCCTTCATTTTACCTGAAACAGTCAGTCATAGATCCATAAAGTAAATTTAAATCATTAAGTGTTTCATGAATTTGAACTGGACTGCAGTATTTGAGTTAAATACCTCCCTGGATCATTTTTCAAAATGTGCATAAATATATATATTATAATAAAACAAACCTGTAGGATCTAATATAATTGCTACTTTTGTGCTGCTGTACAAATTTGTTTTTTGGCTAAAGTTAACACTCTGGTCTAAAGGGACTCTTGTCTTTATATTCCCACGCTGTTCTCTCAGCCTCAGATACGTCACACACCGATTTAAATATCTTAGTTTTTTCAAGTAACAGTAAAGCAATTTGGATAAAATAAAGATTTGTTACTGTTTCTTTCAAACAATGTTGTCCAACATATATCTAGTTGCTACTGTCACAGTTGGACTAGACCGTTAACAGCCACTCACTCGAGCCACTCGAGAAGAAGTTCCTTCTCGGTCATCATGGAGCTTCTAAGGATGCAGACCTTGAATTAAGAAATACATTTGAAGTCACTCATATAATTAAAGCATAGCACACAGCTGTATGGATTGTGATCTGTCTTCAAGGTCCACGTGAGTAACAGTAACTGGAATGAGTCCAGCTCCTTTCTGGCCACAATATCTCATCCTGAGGGAAACAGCCTCTCCACCCTAGTGTCAGATATCTCCCTCTCTAAGAATCACAACAGCACCACAGCAACCATCGCCACAGTGCTGGCTGTAACCAGCAGGAGCAGCTCAGGGGACGTCTACAACCAGACAGCTGTGTTTGAAAAGAACACCCGACAACAGGATCAGTGCTGGGAGACCTATGTTGGACAGGTTTTGCTTTCTGATTGGATAACGGTGTATATTTGTGGAAATGATAAAAATATATATAAACATTATGACCACCTGCCTGTTGCCAAAACATCAAATGATAGTGATGCATTGTGTATTCTAACACCTTTCTATCAGAACCACTTTTTCAGAATTGCTTGAGCTACAGTAGCTCATCTGTTAGATCGGAACACGTAGGCAAGCTCTCCTCGCCATGTGCATCAATGAGCCACACGAGCCCATGACCCTGTCGCTGGTTCCCAACTGTGAAAGTGGGAACACCCCAAAAGCTTTGGAGCTCCTCTGAACCAGTCCTTCAGGTTGCTCAAATCCTTACACTTGCCAAACTTTGAGGGCAAAATATTAACTTGCTCACTAATGTATTCCACCCAGTAGCAGGAGAGATAATCAGTATTATTCACTTAACCTGTCAGTGGTCATAATGTTATGCCTGGAATATATGATATATATATGTGTGTGTGTGTGTGTGTATGTAAAATAAAATACTTGTATATAGTATTTGTAAATTTCCCTGATGAATATGTGTATATTGTGCCTTTAGGAGATGTTGAAGCTGTCCATCATTGACATGATCTTCACAGTGGCGAGCATCCTGCTCATTGACTTCATCAGAGGTCTAGTGGTTCGCTACCTCAGTGACTGCTGCTGCTGGGATTTAGAGAGCAAATTTGTAAGTTGGTTGCAAGCTTTTGCTTTTACAAAATTTAGCAAGTAAATGCTAAACATGAGAATTAAGGTATTTATTCTTACTCTATTGAATGGAATTCTGTATACATACACAATACACAGGTCATAATGTTTCAGACCTGAAAAAGGAAATAGACCCAGAGAATGATTTCTTCTCCAATACTGAAGACATCAGCTGTTGCTGCCACAGTGATGAACAGTTTAATCACACCATTAAATGATAATGATAAATGATCAATAACGTTAAAGAATATTTAAATCAGTTCACAAAAGCTTTCAAAATTATTGCTGTATCTGAAATATGGATTAATGCAGAAACAGGGATGGACTTTCAACTGGACTTTTCAACCCAGGAAAAGGGTGGGGGGGGCTGTGTATGTGGATAAAAAATAGATTACAAGGTGGTGGAAGCTATGATAACTGTGTTTGATAACTTATTAGTCAATGTATAACAATTGAAATTTGCAAGGAATATAAAAAAATGTTCTAATATTTGCTGTATATATAAAGCACCAGGCTCTAGCGTTCAAATTATATCAAATCAGATATATTTATCTGTGGTGACTTTAACATTGTCCTGTTAAATTAAAAAAACTCATAAAAAACGAATGAATTAACACAACAGTTGGGCTATCCTAAAATCACTAGGCCAAACACAATTACACTTTATTGTGCCACCCTAATTGATAATAGTTTCAATAAGTTTTTTTTTCCAGTTTTTGCAGTTTGACAGTAATCACAAGAGACCACAACCAGGGGAAAACCAGAAAACCAGAAACATCTGACAGTCAGTATGGATTCAGACTGAACCATTCAACTGCACGGGCATTAATTGGATCAGTCTAGCAGATTATAATTCAAGTCAATTAAATTTTATTTATATAGCGCCAAATCACAACAAAAGTCGCCTCAAGGCGCTTCATAGATACAGAGAAAAACCCAACAATCATATGACCCCCTATGAGCAGCACTTTGGCGACAGTGGGAAGGAAAAACTCCCTTTTAACAG